CTTTAATGTACTTCGCTGTAAAACTGTACTGCAAGAAGCACCTAAGTCACCGGACAACTGGAAGGTTTATAGAAGTTACTAACACTCAAAAGACTGGTGGCCGATATAGGCAGAAAAATGGTGCCCATATCAGTTGTAGCACTATTTCATCCCCTAACTATTGAAGAGCTTTACCCTGCACTGGGCATCGCTCCTTAGTGTCGGCGAAGCGATGAATTAACCAAGAATAAATTGATGATTAGGATAGCTCATAGCTTGGTGGAGGAATTGCACCCGCCGGTGCGCTGCACGCATCGGTTGTTACGGAGGAATGTTGCTCACAATCCGACAGCGCACGTACCGTGGGAGTTGTGAGGCGGCCTATGAGTGCCTTTGTTGCGGCATGAGCATCCTCTGTCCAAGTCACAGACTCTACTTTCTTCAGCATATTAGCCACAGAAGCAGCAACCCGAGCAAATCCAGGAATGAAATTTAGGCAGTACGATACAAGCCCAAACAATTTGCAATGTCCATGAAAGAGCGCCGAGGTAAGAGCCACACCTTGCTTGTTTGATTTTTTGTCGGAACTCGCTGAATTCCTGCAGTCGAAAACCGCGCCAAGCAACATGATTCTTCTCATAAAGACCAAAGGGTTGCGTGCCTCTACATACCACTGGCAGTCCTTTTACAGCTGAACCGCATGCCAGAGGTGTTGTTGGTGTTTGGCAAACTTCGTCTGACTATTAAAGCGTTGCCCTTGAAGGCTGCCACCCAGCGCATATATTTACAAAATTTCTTATCGACTTGCAGCTTGGGCATTAGCAAGTCCAAACGGCATACATGTATACTTGAACATGTGGGTGGAAGTGGGGAAAGCCGTTTGGTGCTCATAGGCAGGGTGGATGGGGATTTGTAAGAGAGCGCCGATGAAGTCAAATGTCCGTTAGACTGTTGGATCGTGTAAGTCACAAACAACTCGCCACTATTAAGTACCGGGAGCTTGGGCATTAAGTTGATCTTGTTCGGGGCTTAGAGCTAATGCCCATGCGTCACTGCTCCTCTATTTTCGCCAGCAGTAGCGAAGCATGCTCAACGCGCCAGTCGATTCCTGTACTTTGCCTTTAAAAAAATCAACGGTTTGCCGCCCAGTTCCTCCTTCTTGCTGTGGGGATCTTCGATACTGTGGAACATAGCTGGAGCTCAACCGATTATTAGTTCAATACGATGCGCTGGACAACCGGCAGTGGACCACTCTGCTGGCATGTCGTCGATATTTTGCACATCCGCGAACTTCTTGACATTTGCTCGTTGCTGCTTTTAATCGGATGAAAGTTTTATCGGATTCTTTAATAAAAGGCCGGTTTCAGAGGTAGGAAGATACGATGCACAGAACCTTCTGTCACTACCCTGCTGAGCCGCCCAGTTGACGTCTGTGCCTCACCTTTTGAGGCACCGACTCTACCCCTCTTACCATCATGAAATGCACGTTGCTCGAAGACCACACCGTGTTTTTTCTAGGCGTTATCTGGCACATTAAGCTTCATGGCGTGCAGATGTAGCCTCATGCGCGCCTTCCATTAGACCAAATGTTATTGGAAGTGTCATGTGGTTCCCGCACCCTTGCCACTGTTTCACAAGTCTAAGTCTTAGGTTCTGCGCTAAGCACTGAACGGGCAGGGATTGTCTCCTCGTATAACAGATCTATTGGTCATTCAGTCTCAAGCTCCACTGGCACTTTTTGGCCGGTAATGTGAGCTTGTACTAGTGTAGAATACACCCACAGTTAGTTCCCACCTGCGAATTTTTCTCTCTACCCTTCTTGGCTGCGCCGCAGCTTGCGTGCGCTGCTTGCTGTTTTCCTGGTACGCCTCCTTCTTTTGCTAACCAGCATGGTCGCGCCGTTGTTCAAGTTCTTTGGACTTTTGCGTGCTCTTGCAGTTCCGGATTATATTTCCTACCCGCACTATAAAGGCAAGAACGTTGCTGGGGAGCTGTCTGGGATCGTTTAGCAGTGCAGCATTTTTGTAGTCCTTTTCCTCGTACACCGTAGACGGTAGAGCAGTCCCGGTGGACGCAGAACCCTCGTGATTGTTTGAAATCAAAGACGCAAGATCTGCGCTGGTTTGCCTCCAGAATACCAGGTAGTCCATCAATTGTGGGGGTTACACTGGGCGGTTGTGTAATCCCTGAAATGCTGCTCATCCTATGGGGGCTACGGTGCGTGATGCCTCACCCTTTGAGCACTCCAAGCCTTTACGGCTAATGGCATTTAGCATCTTACTGGGCAAAGCTACTACACATAAACACGTTTTACTATATATGTATCTGCGATGGTATGACAACCAAAAATAAGACGGCCGCAGAGCTGGGCAAGGTGTTTTGGTCTATCGTCATCCCCTGGATCCGAATAGAGTATATATAGGTGAACCTCCGTGCCCACATCATCATTCTCAATCCTTCCGCCGCTTGCTGATCAACTACATTTTCTAGACAGCTGTTGGTGTTCAGTGACTTTTGCGGACTGATATTCCATTACATATATGCCAATATGTTGAGAGCTGCACCTATTTCACCGTTTCTCAGTCTTCTCAAAGCTTGCTGTTTAGCTTATCTCGGCAAATTCCGATAAGTCGGGGCTTGTAGAAAGGCTTGGACTGTAGTAATTCCAGCAGGCCGATAAATCCTCTACAAGAATAGAGCCACGATCAAGGTGCTATTTCTTTAATACATTTGCCGCGAGGAAGATTGGCTCGTCTTCAGGTCGGGAGGACAAAGCGAGGTACGACACCAATTGCCTGATGGGCTCTTGGAGTTTTCTCCCATCCCTGCGGCTGTCATACTTTTCTGGTTGGCAGTGCCCCGTCGGCACACCCATATACATTTATTTAACTAAAATCCTTTCATGCATTTGTTCCAGCTGTGTTGCTACAGCATGCAAGGCAGCTTGCGATCCGGCCTCCGCCTTATCGCCAGGCGTTGCATCGCCAGAGGCTTTCTTGGCCCACCCTGTTGTCAAAGAACTTCGAATTGAAGAATAGCTAGGTAGGGATCAAAACACAACAACTGTTGTATGAAAAACTGGAAATTCCATCGCATCCTGTATTTGATCTAGTGGGTGAGAGGAAAACAGCTTTATCGGACGCAGCGGTATTACCAACTGTAACTTTCAATCTAGTATCCTCTAAAGGTGATGCTCAACCCTGGGCACAGTACAAACAGAAGAGAGCGTTATTAATGGCTTTTTTAGAATATTCCCCGCCTTCTCCTGCCCACGCCCCTAGGGATTCCCATATGAGGGCGGAGAGACAGGTAAAATGTGCACGTTGCTGTACCTTTGGAGTAGTCCAATTATTTACAGCTAGCCGCGTACCGCATCTGGGCAAGTTAAGCTGCACTTCAACAATTTCTACTATACCATTCATATTTAACTAAGTAGAATCAAGATTTGCCTTATTGGCTTGTATGTGATGGCTAATGCGTGCAATGTACTGTGGATGCTTGAAGTCCAGCTCGGGTGCAGCTACGTACACCCCAGCTACCGAGGTCTTCTCATGTCTGGAACTCTGAGGAGCGGGTGCCATGAAAGGCTGGAGTTCTTCTAAATATTCAGTAGCTTTCAGTCATCCTAAGTTGAGCTTGGGATGAGGTGTCTTCCTAAGTAAACCCTAGATGGAGGGTTACATCACTGGTTTTTATAGCGAATAATTGATACCTCTATTAGAAACTCCTTCGAGCCACGGAGACACAGTCATAATGTAACGCGTACTGAAAGAGGCTACTGGGCCCTAAGGCTGCCAGTTTCTTCTTAAATGCAGGCTGGTACTGGGTGCAAGGAGACTCTTTGCCTGAATCTAATTTCTGTTAGTATCTTCAAGCATACGAGATAATGCAAGTTCTCCAACATGCTCACCTAGGGTGCATTCCTGTACCTTTAATAGCTGTTTACAGCTACCTTTACTACCCTGAATTTGTAGCTCGCATCATACTCCACGTCCTTGGGCATGGGACTCGACAGATTGGGCACCAGGGATAGCGCATCGCTTTTGGCGATTCAATAATACTTTTCACTTTTTGCATGTGATGTGGTGAAGACTGTATGAGCAAATATTTCAGAGGTCTCTGTTCAGAGAAGGAGACCAGAGATACGGAAACTAGAAGCTCGGTGATGGGGCCCGATATTGTTAACTCTGCACCGAGTCACACAGTGTTGCACAAGGTAATAGTTACGCATGTAAATATAAAGCATTGCAAGGCTGCAAGCATGATAAGAGGGAAAACCCCTATATTCATGATCATATGTCTAATATGACGCATACTGGATGAGTAACCGTTGTATTCAGACTCCCACAGGGCGCCGAGTCAATATTCGTCATCGACTCAGCCACATTACAGTGAATCATTTATAGCAGTGTAACATTCAGCTTCTTACATAACACTAGTTTCAATTGGTATCATCGCATGAAATTCTTTTGAAAAGCCATGCACTGACTTCAGGTATAACGAGCCTGGTGGGTGCATACTCCGGGGCTCCGGTAGCCCCAGTGCAAAGCAATAATATTCGTGTATGGGGCTTCTGGATTTCGTGACGTCCAGAAAGCACACAGTCACTACACTGAGTCCATATGAGGCCTCTGAGTGTGCCTGTATACTAGACACTGCCAGACATTGCTGTCGGTCCATAGGGTCACTTGCTGGGGGGCAAGGTTTCCTCGCGAGACGGTGGAGTACGGTTGCCTGGGGCTCCCTTGGACTAATCAAGTCCGATGTTCAGCACTCAGTTTGGGACCTTTCAAGTGCCAAAGCGTCATCCGATGGCGCTTTGTTTCCAGAGTCATGCTCTTCTGACCTCCGCATAAACTTGCTCTCGGCCTAGCTTATCACGGAATATACTTAACACACGGGCTGTGCAGGGCATAATAAAAGGCGTGCAGAAGCCACACGAGCTAAGAGACGGGCCGTCGGTGGTCGCGGGGGCTGTCAAGTCAAATGCGGGTTTCGTTGGGTAGACGAAATACACGAAGATGTTTGCCAACGCTCTCCAATCGGGTTTCATATCAATACTTTATAGCATTGGGTCATTCTATGCACTGCAACTATCCTTCCGCTGAAAACTGGTGGTTAAATGCTGAATCGCTTTCCATGAATTAGTTGTCACAGGAATGTGTAGCAAAGTAAAGACCAGCTGTCACAATTGATACTCAGCTCTAGATTCAACGGTCCGAACTAGAGTGTTCTGTGTGGCTGCAACAAAATGTTTGAGCCCAAGTATGAGGGAAGGAGAGCTCTGGCTGTTGTTGAAACTTTTCACTAAGTTACCTTAGTCACTCCGAAATATAGCGTTGCAGCTGCATAAGTCGACACCGCGGGTCAAAAGGTTAAAGGAGTGGCGCATATCGCACACCATATGCGTTAAAAAGGTAACACTCGCGATTCAGCCTGCTTCCAAAAAAAATTCAGTCTCGAACACAAGTAAACTGTTGAAGTGCTTATGATGTCTCCGTTTGCAGCTCGCACCCCCTGCAACTGTGGGATAAAGCAGTCCAAAATGGCCACATCAAACGAGTAACTGACGAGGAGATTCAGTCCTTTGTTGTTGAAATCCTTGGCGCAAATGTGTCGACAACTTTTATTACTTGCCCTCTGTACAAAGGCTCGCTCGGGATCAAGCTACCTATACTTGTCATGATTGTGAAAAATGTGAGACTCTTGCTTTCCTAAACACCCTTCATATCAAATGCAAGCTTTTATGAGCTATGAGCCACGCACAATAAATTACAACTCAATGAGAGTGATCGTCGTTCGTACAACATTGAACACTATGGTAAGTTTCGCCAGCATTATTAGCGAGAGCCAACTACCACTGCGAATATTAGCTCACCAGAACTGGGAAATGGCAGCTACGTTGCTTTGGGCTCAGATGAAAAAATACTTTACCTTCGAAGTGCAGATTCTGGATGACCAAAACGTCCGCAGACGATTTCGGGCATCGAACTATCAAGTGAGCCGATAAATGCAAATCGTGAAGTTCGCAAGTTCAATAACTCAATTCTAGAAGGTAACATATCGTAGAAGGCCCCCTGTCACTGCTCATTCCGTTTAGTATTGGAGACACCCAAAGATTCACTACAATACTTTTGAAGTTTTAGGCACCTCAGGCTGTCATGAGTGTCAAACGCTTTAGAACAATTTAAGTTCCTCCACTACGTTTTCGATTGTGTATACAGAGCGCCACAAGAGTACAGCCTTTCGTATGCACGATGCCGCTGCGCCTGGATGAGGGTTGGAATCAGGTACAATTCAACCTCGCAGACTTCACACGGAGAGCCTATGGAACAAAATTCGTGGAGTGCGTGAAAGTGCAACTCCATGCAAACTGTCGGATCCGAAGAATTTTCTTCTCGGACAGATTTTACTCTGAAGAAGAGCTGCCCCCCGAGTACAAACTATTCATTCCAAGCAGCAGGCACTAAAATGCCCCGCACGCGTAATCGAAAATGCAGCTAAAAGTAGCCTCCTCTCTGGCTCTTGGAAATAGATTCGTTATTCCACCACTGCCCGCAAGTCATGCCTGCAATCTGTTGGCCCTGAGCTGCTCATAAAAAGTTGTAGACAAACACGTTTAACCTGTTGTCGGTCCATACCGAGCTTTAACGGACAGCATGCATTGGATTGGTCCGTGAGGGCACTTAAAGGTCATTTATCTAAGCTAAATATATTGCAGTACACGAAACTAATGCTCATCAGCTCATACCGTCGAAGAGGTGGAAAGGAAAGTACTGAGTCCTCGTATTTGCCTTGCTCAAATCACTAACCGGCGAGGTAGAGGCATAGAAGCTGTCAGACGCACGACGCATGATAAGCCGCCTGGATACAGGTGAAGCATGCTTCTACTTTAGTCTCGCATTGCCTTGTGACACACATGCACAGTGCCGGAGACGTAGAAACTTCTTAAGAGAAATGCTAGAGATATTAATTGCTAGGTGCCTATCCGCATCGAGGCCCAGCAGAGTTCACATTCTGCAGAGTGTGTTCAACCGTGTCATTTTTCTTTCAGTGGCACACAGGGAACAATGCAGGCCTGCCTCATCCAGACTGTGACTAAATTTTAGCTTTGCATAAGTAGCTTTCACAAATGAAAAACCACAGGCTGAGAATCATCCCATTCCTCCTTCACCATCAGAAAGCTCTAAAAAGCACACGAGCGTTTCCACACATCAAAACTCCTATCTTGGAGGGCCGCGTAGTGGCTACACAATAGTTGCATGCTGGCGTGCCATTAGGTTTGCCACCTACGCTTTGGAACCCCTTGTGGTGGTATCTGCTGAGATAGCGTAGTATTTCTCAGCATACAAAAGGCCTGGCTAGCTCCTTGTCTAAGAAGCCTCCTGTCTATTAAGCTATGCTTTATTTTCAAGTGGTCATAGGGAACAGTTTTGGCATAGTGTAAGTGGCTGTGCACCCCTTAAGAGTTCCGCGAATAGTTCCAAGATCGTATGGCTCACGTTGTGCTGGAGTAAATGTGGTAGCGAGGCGCTGAAAAGCTTGAGCAAGCCCAATGTACCTATTTGGTGTATATGGCTTTAAACTTTCCAGCCCCAATACAACAGTCTCTCCATCCAGGTGTTTGTGCAGATGAGGGTACAAACCACATAGAATAGGTATGCCGCATGGTCAGCATGTTGGCAGTGTATTGGTTACACGACGTTTGCTCCGAGATCCAATTTTGGGGGACTGGTACCCGTCTACACGCACACTCTAACCAAGGCTTCAAAACCAGGAACAAATATGCTATTGTACAGATTGCTACAGAGCACTTAATACTCTTTCCCTACGCTTAAATATTGTGGAAACTGATGCAATTCGACACTCTGACAAGCCATACGTCCTCGTTCAACAGCTTAAGGACACAGGAGCACTTTCTTGCTCGGCGTTTCATAAACGCCATTGGTGCTTTGTATAAGCCGAATGCGAGTGCGATTAAGCTTTGCTGGCGCTGGTGCGGCGAAATCTGGTGGCTCATTGGCTGTCGCTGCACAGCTTTGTTCATATTTATTAGACAATTTGTGTGTGATTGCCTGAGCACAAAACTTCCACTACAACTCATGCATGGTATCGCCCTGCTGCTGTCTAGGGACCTCGACTGTTTTTCCAGATCGACAGTGGCGCCCCGAGCCGCCCTCCAAGCACCTAAAGGGATTACTCTTTTGTCATTATTTTTACATTCTCATTACGAATTTACAATTAATATTTATGTCGCTACATATCACGAATGGGAGAATCCTTATCTCCGGATGCCATTGACTCTAGATGGCTTGAGAACTCGAGCACAGAACCAAGTCTATCGTCAGGTGTTTTATCAAGCACATGATTCTTCCTCCCTTTCATTTGGGATCATAGATTGAGTCGATCCAGTCCAGGCCACAGTCCCACGCGCCTCTACATTGAATTTCTCTGCTGCAGGAATCAGCTACTCACCATGGCACCAGTTTTAAGTAGGCGGATACCGCAAGAACTGCTTTGGATATTGGAGATCCTTCGCAGGCATTCTCAGTTCAAACAGCGAGTATATGCAGTCTTAATGCACTTCAGCACCAACTTTAACAGTTTCTGAGCATATTTTCTTCACTTGTCCCCATTCGCATGCTGCGCCTCAGTTTCGGGTGTAGTTGACCATATCTTGGATGTGCCAAGTGCGTATCCTGGCCCCCACAATTTTACCCAGGGTATGTCACGCTGACTACACTATTTTTGATGGTAGCTAACACTGTTGAACGTCTTCATGTAAAGCCCAACAGCTTGCCTTCTGTTATAAAACATTTATGTCCAAGCACTGCAAGCCACTCTGTAGATGAAAGCAAAACTAGTAGAGCCAAAAAAATATGAAGAATCGTCGCTGGTAGTGAGCTGATTACCGGTCGCAGAGCGCACGAACTCGGACCTCCTGCCACTTGACCCGAGGAGCCAGCTGTTATTGATATGGGATTGTATGTGCAACTGGATGCAAGAACAGCTTGACTCCGGATATGGAGTTACTGCAAGGAGCTTTGGTAGGTTGATTTCTGCACTAAGCATGAGCTTTCAGGGCATATATAGTGGCCCTCTGGTTTATGGTGAAAGCAAGATAGTCATGCTGGGGCAATCACATGCAAGCGAAAAGCTCTGCTCCAAAAGTGGAAACCCAAGAGATATTCCCGTCTTATGCAGGTTCCTTTACCTTTGAGAGAGATATGCGCCAGCTGTCACCTCCTGTACCTGAGTTGAACCACGTGGGCAAGATGGTAGAGTCACTGGAGCCTTGCTTTGTGATAGACGCTGGTCTTGCCGCAGATGTTCATAGACAATCAAATACGAAAATACAAGAGAATAATCAGAGCACGAATTCAATCTTTCAAACAAAAAAGATTAAGTACGTGCAGCAAACTCGCACCCTTTCTGCCATTTCATTATTGTGGAGATTTATCTTAATTTTCTTTATTATTCTTATGCATGTAACAAGCGGAATCCTACGTAGTAATACATGTATATTCGGACGTATTGCATAGTCGAGACTATGTGGCTCCATTATATGAGTTCCCGCAGGTTCCTAAATCCGGTGCCCATTGCAGCTGCGTGCTACCTGCATACAACTGTGGTGGTTTCAGCACTGAAGGCATTCTTCAGCGCAATCCCTCAGCTTGGTGCGCTTGGCAATTTGATTTGCTTCGAAAGGCCTAAAACAATGGCTCAATTTTTCTCTTCCTAAACACATTGCAATGACATACCAATTGTCCCACCGATTACTGCCCCTAGAACCGAATAAAAATTGTACGAGGATCGATACAAAACACTTGGGCTGACCGTTGTTGAAGAGGACTTCTGGTGGTGCTGGGGGCTCAACAAAAGTTCGTCATTCCAGAAGCAACGAGGGAGAACTCGAAATTTCCTTTTATGGGGTGTCTGCAGTTAGAAACAATCATGATTTAGCTCTGCACTTTAATTTTTGCAAAATGACGCTATCAAACAAAAAGGTGTCATGCAAATTTGCCGCGAGAGTCAGGCAAGTGGCACAGGTAAATTTTTTTGCTTTGATTGGGAGCATGGCATAGTGCCCCTGATTAGTTCTTGTGCTTCGCACACTGCATATGCGTTCGACAATACAATCTAAAAGAATTGTAGACAATGCGTTTATTGCTGCTCTGCTACAGGCGGCTCTTGACTCGAAGAAAAAAGGCGGCTCTGATTCTGTCAAAGGTAACTGGAGCTACTGCAACAGTCACAATGCGATGGCACCCATTTTTACGCAAAGGGGGGCAACAGAACCACAGGCAGCACCGCGGATATCTTTTCAGCTAGCACAAACGAAGCGGAAGCAAGATGATGGTCTAAGCCATGCCACCACCTTGACCATCTCCAGGACATGCCCCTAAACTGGTTGTGGTCCCACATCAGCCGTCCGATGTGATGATTCATACCACTTCGAGTGATAAATTCTAAAGTATCTGTATCCCCTTGCACTAAGGTACTAAAAAGCAAACCACTACGAAGTGAGTTGAGACCCATTGTTCCTACCAACACCGAGGAATTTCGCGGATTATCGGAATGCATGCTAGCTTACAGAGTGGCAAGTGCTGAAGCTGGCGAACCTCTGTATGCGGACCTACAACCACAGTGTACATGAGCTCTAGGAACATAGGTGTAACGCAGTGCCCTTAGGCAGGCAAAGTCTAGTCATGCTTTGTGCAAAAAAGCCGTCGAAGTGTGCAAACTTGCTCGTTCTTCTGTTTCCAATGCTGGAACTCAAGCTACTTCGTAGCTTTGCGTTCTTGTGATTCCTTGTCACATAAAATCATACTTGTTCGCTGGCCCTACAGAGGAGCACAGCCATATTCATCAGCCGTAGATGTCGCAATAAATCAATTAGGCTCTTGTGGTAGCAGTGCTTTCTCGAGGAAGTGGTAAAGAAGTATCACCGCCACGGGTAAGGGCAAAGGTGCAGAAGACTCCAGCATACGCAACTGCCGAGCTATACACCATAATGTATTGATGGTCGCGTGAGGACTTAAAGCAATGAACCTTTGGATACCCCACATTTTTCTTGGCCTTCTCTGTTAAATTAAAGGCAGTGATAGACTATTTTTGATGTCCTAACTGGTTTTCAGTGCCTCTGTAAAAGAAATCAGCACGTTTGTGTGCCGCAGAGGCTGATGGGGCCGCAATCGATAACCATGCAGTACAATATTTTTCATATCTAGCATTGCACTCGGGACCCGATGCAAGCAAAAGCACTTGATGGCACTTTAGAGAGTAGCGGTGCACTAGATCACTAATGTCCACTGTTCCTTTCCTTAACGGGCCTGCGACAATCGCACCGTCTGCTTGTAGGCATCAGCCCCTTTATGACCAACTGGCGACCGCAGGCTGGGCAGCCTTTCCTGCCCTTGCTTGTAGATTGGTAAACGAAATTGCCCAGTGGGAGTGGCCTTAGGTTCTCTGCAAACGAAATGTACCGTAGTTTACGGTTGCAATTTTTTGGAGCAACGCAAAAGCCTTCGTTGATGGATTGCATGTGTTTGCTCTAGTGAGCGATGACAGACTCCGCCTTGAAACAGACACTCGAAGGAGCTTAAAATGGGGAAGAGGTGGGCACCTGCGAACCATGTGAGCTGCCACTGATGCTGGCGTGCAGATGGATAGGCACTACGCTACATAAGTTAAACTGATGAAGTCCAACCTATGGTTGCGTTTAGTCTCGCTATTTTTGGAAGCCTCAGTTGTTAGCCCTTGTGACTAGCTCTCCTTTAGCCGTACAGTGTTTCCACACTACGCATAATACCAAAGGCTGCCGATACTATACTACAGTGCAGGGCGCAACATCAGTCACAGAAAAAAGTCTGTTAAATCGCTTGTAGCTTGTGTTCCTGAAGTACTGCATGATGTTGCTCTTGGACCTTATCACAACGAAGGAAGCTCTGGAGACATTTGCACGTGGCCTCCATGTTTATATGGGCTACTCAGGCAGCCGTGATAAGATTGTCATATAAGCTAAAAAAGCTACAACAAACAGTTTTTTAAACAAAAGGTAATTGCCCGTTGTTTTAAAGTCCCTGCAGGAAGCGGTGACTCCAAGATCGTCTTTTTTCGGTTATGGTTTAGGATAATACAAGCATACTCAAGGAAAACAGAAGCTTTGTGTGTGCTTCTTAATGTCTTTTCTAGGTGTCACGAGTAGAGGGATTTACATCCTTTGGCTGTATGTCGGCAAGCCTGTCCTGCTAAACACAAAAACCATCTTCTTATGACCCCCTAGGAATTATATGCCCTTTGCAGTGTGGGCCAGTCGAGCGTGAATCCTGCTGGCTGGGCAGCTTCCGGGATATCTCAAGGTTATATGAGTTCATATTACAAAAGGCCCCGCTATGTGCGCATTACATTTTCGCGTTGTTTATATCGATGTGCAGGATTATTATTCCTTTCTCGCTGTTGGCAAAGTTATTGAGTGTCCATCTAGCTAATGCATTGTGCTGTATCATCTTCCGAAACATCTACCAGCCGACCGTGAGCTCCAAAAGGGCCGCTTATGCGATTTCAGGGCTTGATATTATCTACAATGAAAGTCAACTCTTGTGTACACTGCATAGCTTAGTGGGATATGGACATTTTGACTACAATGCCGCAGACTCAACTCTAATCAATTAAGACATGCAATTTGCAAAGGTTTTGTCAGACAGCCTTTTGCATGTATATATTCCTGTCTGGACATGTACAAGTCCACACACGCGAGTTAGCAGCCATAGATTCTACATCCGTCATTTTTGGAGTTGAGTGAGCTCTTACCGCACCAAGCACTCCTCATGCGATAGCGCATGATATTCGTTCAAGTAGCGTTGATGAAGCCACGGGAATAAGTGTAACGACTACACGCAGAACACGCTTTCTTAGCGTAGTTTGCTTTTTAAGTGTTGTACAAAGCTGGGTAACGTCCCTGCTGACCTCGATGATGCTTAGCTTAATTACCAGTTTTGAGTCTCAATCTCTCAATCGAATTTCGCCTACTGACGAGCACCGTGTCGTGGAAAGTGTATCACAATTCAGGCACACAAGAAAAACTGGATTTTCCGCTTGGTATATGATGAATTAGGTAGTGCAAAACCAACTGTGTACTTTGTGTCCAGAGAGCTAGGAGGGACTACAGCGGCGACTGCTGCCGCCGCTGCCTCAAGGGGTGCTAAGGTGGGCTTTTACGTTGCGGTGAAGCCACAGAGGCAGCTGCGACGACAGATCCAGCCACATGCGCACTTCAGGGTCGCTAAGGTGCACAGGAGAGCAGGGTGCATTAACTGGGCCAGTATGAGACTTTGCACAATACCAATGCATCAGCGGCAGCACTCGCTGCAAGGCTGACACACTAGTTGCCTGCTTGCAGTATACCCTGAGAACGATCCTGTCAATTTCGAAGAACAAGGACACACTCTTGAGCGCAAAACACCAAATGCCTTAGCAGCGAAGAAGCCTTGAGGATCTATCGTTTCCTGCACCGTTGTACTTCCGTGCGAGGTATGGTTCCCCCTTAGCTTGCGTGTGTCCCAAATCATCGAGGCTGTACATTATTTATTGAGTAGTTTTGAAATCGTTGGCGTACTCGTCTGGCGGCATAAAGCACGTACGCCTGAAACGAGGCGTTTTGTCTTCTCGTCTTGTTATGGCTGCCGACGTTGCTGGGCAGAAAGCCCAAAGCCAGAGCATATTTGTGCTGCAGCCATATCCAATGATCCACCCGCAAGGCTGATGGATTGGCACTGGAATGTCGTATGCTCTCCACTCATGCGAGAACGAGTGTACTTGAGGTAAATTTTTTAAAAGCTGGAATGTCATGAATTCGGCTTCTGCTGACCTTGCTGCTACTTTAAGAGGCTCAGGTAGTGATTCAGAGGCTTAGTTTATAGTGCACAGGTGTCGATGGCGCTGAACTACAATGAAAGACTTGAACGTGAAGCCTTACCTCAGCAGAGTTTTTTTTTTGAGGGGTGGTCTGCTCAACTTTCCAATGCCTACGCAGGTGTATGTGGGCGGATATGCAAAGCCCACCTTGTGTTGGTCGCAGGCCACTATTATTTAGCTGGATTCCGTGTTTTGCATGCACTAATGTGTTGTCAACTCATGACGGCACACAACGAGGATTCGCTCTACAGCAGCAACAAATCCTGGTGCGGCACCATAATCAGAGATAACACATGAAGATGGCTGACCTGGGTTCTTTATGTAGCAGCAAAGGTAATATGTAGCAAGGATTCTCAGCTAAATCAAAAGCAGCTTATGGGGCCCACTCTATTACCCCATGCGGGCACAACTTCACATTAACAGACAAGATCTACTGTATGTATCCACAGCGAAGGTGCTGACCTATATAAGACTTGGCACTACTTGGCTTTTTACTGGCGAGATGCCAACTTCTTCGTCCCCATGCATGGGACGGTGGTGCGACAATGCGTTTCTGCTCATTCCCCCGAGGAACATAGATGCTCCTGTTTGAAGTCAGTATTCTTACAAGGTCAGCTAGCTCAGGACGATGCGGTTGAGATATGACAGGTACAACTCTCGCTGCTGAGGCTTCGATTCACCATTGCAGAGATTCTCAAGATGCAGAGCCGAGAACCTGCAATGCAGGCCATCACGTTTCTAGAAGCAGGCCGCAGTCTCATTTCGCCACCATTTTTTGCAAGGAGATGCCCATTATTAATGGCAAAGTCGCTTTAGATAGTATAGGTCCTACAAATACCTTGTGGGTGCCTTAATATTAACAATACCCTGGTTCTTGCAGCTGCACAGCCACTTCGATTGCAATGCTCTCTGTTTTATCACGTTCCCGCAAGCTCTCACTGTTTTGAAACGGTATGTCTTTGACAACGGGAGCGGCATTTGCGGCCGAAAGGCCATACTCTCAGTGGTAAAAAGCCTCTAGAACTCAGGCTGAAGCGTGCTACACCGTGGGTATCTGGCAAAATGCACAGACGCCACTGTTTGGCAAACGAATGTGCAAGCCTGATTGTCGAAGAGGCATTCTCGCTTCTGTCACAGCTGTGAATATAAATGATTGGAAAAGAATTATCCAAGGACAGCGAAATTGATAAAATCTCCCCACCCCATACTCTGCACTATCTTACAGGCACCCCGAATAAACGGGTTCAGCGTACAATGCAAAGAACACGCACGCTTAAGCTGGCTTGCCACTAAACATAATTTCTGCATCGCAATGATGAGCTGCCTCATGAGGATGTATAAGCTTTTGTAAAAATATGTTTTGGGGCATGTGTTCTGCAGCTAGAATGACGGCTTGGCCTCAGAACCACTTAGGTTGCTTCGAAATTCATCATAGTCTTAAACGCCCAAAACGATTAGTCCTTTCCCGTGAAGCGGTGTAACAATCAAGCCACGCTAGTGCAAAGCGCGCCTACCGGCGTATTGCGTCTGCATCAACCGAAATTTTGCAGTTTTTCTTACAATGACAGCCTGTGTGCGTCAAATTAAAAGTAGTTCAGCTAAAACCCTTTTTCGTGTAGCAGAAACACCCATTCAGAAGCAGTCCCTCACGTTTCAAGCGAAAGAAGTTGCATGGCTGAGCTATAACGAATATTTTTCGTATGGCATTGCAGGTGCCGACAGCAGCTTCACTTGCATGGTGCTGATCGAGGCCTCATGTAGAAAATCACTGCAGTCCTCACCAAGCTTATGCTTACTCAGACCTAATTGATAGAACCTCCTTACGCAAAGTGTGGTTCCCATGATCACCTTTGCCCGCGAGTTACAAGAGTTATGCATGCCGCACATCGATTGTTGAGCTTTCTGCCAGCCCAAGTTTCGTAGAGGGATGGTCGAGGTTGCACAATTTATGCGTAGATAGTGAGTTCGAAATCCAAATCAACTCCTTGTATGGACAATGTGCTTTCAACCATTCATGGCACCTCACTGTTGGTGGTGGTTCACTTGCGGAGGCAATTGATTCGCGCCAGTGTATCGTCGTTTGATAATTCACGAGAAAAGTTACATCCTAACAAATGGCACAACATACCCATGAAACTCCTGGACATATAGAGAAATATTCACTTGGAGCCTGGACGGTTTAAAGCGTAAAGGAGGGACTCTTCTGGCTGCACCTGACTTAGGGGGAGCCTGCAGCTGTGAAAATCCTACGGCATGCGCTGGAATACCACGTCAGAAATCAACATTCGAGAATATTGTGAGTTTATCCCTGTCGGCGAACACTGCTAACCACATCCAATAAATCCATTTTTCCCACAGATACTTGAGGCAGCATGACAAACAGCGACCGAGAGGACCACCGCTACCAGGCACTATTGAATATACACCGATTATCGATGCAAATAGGGACCAAGGGCCAGCAAGTCTAGATTACACGACCGTGTTCCCCAGACTTGGCTGCTCTTTGCATAGTCTCTCTTTCGTCTGGCCTATCCCAAAACGAGCAACACCCTGCACCGAGGATGCATTTGCTAGAGATTCTCCTTAGCTTGGAAAGCTGCTATGTGGCCTCCTAGTATTCCAGGAATGCCTGCAACAGCGATATCTCTGGAGCGACTGCCTGTATGACGGAATGCTCCGAGGGTTGTAATAACTTCAATAAAGCGGTGGGTGTAGATCAGGTTTCCAATACCTGCTAGGTCCTAATGGAGTCACGCTGCTGTCCTAGACAGCGTGGAATCGATAGCCATCATGCTAACACGGGCGGAAGAGCTATTGATGCCATTGCGATCATGATAGCGAGCTGCTGGAAAGGAGTTACTTGCTGTCGCCTGGGGTGAGGAAAGGCTGGAGATCCGAGGTTCGCTTACGTCATAATTTACCTACCACTACAGCCCGCAGCGATACACATCAGCCGCTTAAATCTATCGGTCGTATATTTTAAGCATTTAGATGGATGAGGGGCCCGTCTGACACGCCGGCTGTGTTTGAGGGGGATACTAAGATTAGAGGTTTTAAGCGCTGCTTTTAAGTATTTCCTATCCGGCAACATAGTGACTGTATGGAGGAACAGCATGAAAATTCGAGACCTACGTACACACCCTAGCTTACGAAACCACCACTGGCTAATGGCTGATGTTCAGGCAGCACCAATGTACCTATCCGCTTGCAAAGATGTGCTTTTACCACCTACGGCGAGTCTCGAACTTCTTTCACCGTACTACTGAAAGGTGCATACAGCTCAAAGCAGAATACTCAAAGCTGAAATTTCACTACGTGAAGTGCGTTTTTGTTCGTTATGCCCATCCTACGTGTTGGAAAGACTCATTAAAACTCCCGGACATTGCCTTTGCACCGCATCGGCTGCACATTGCCCTCGCCCGCGATTTCACGAAAGTAGGACCCATTTGAGATGACATCTTCGGAAATCGGGAAAAGCAAAGCATCTCTAGGAATGCTACAGAATAAGAAAAAGCCAGACAACATAGCAACATGAGCAGCACAGCGTACTAGTGAACATGCAGAGAGCCCCACATTGCGTGTAACCCAAAGCGTCGACGCCCTTCCATTCATGGGCTCCAATGCTAACTACATTTGCAACGAGCGGTTGTACAAAAAGCGAGCCACCAGCTGCATAGGCGAGCAGGGAAGCACCGCTGCTGCTGTTGGATTCCACCCAACGCACAGCAGCCATCGCCTAAACCACAACACTACACTGCCAGTCCCTGGAATAAACGCCGGAGAAACCTCCAGGCTAGATCTACAAGGCAGGGTGGCTCGACCAGCGTACGCTTGGCGTCTACACACCAATTCTCCTGGCGCACCTCCCACCGCTCTTCGGATGCACCCCCTAAATAATGCAAGCGCTTTTTTAAATGCCCATTTGTTAGACTATAACTTTGGGTGTGCGCAGCGTAACATGTTATCACCCATAGGTATATCTTCCACAAGAAAATAAGCTCTTTGTCATACAGACTAGCATAAATTCTACCTTGCAAGCCTCTACTAAGAATTTTCCTTCTGCTACAGCAGTATAAAACACTATGCACTACACTGCGCGTTTTGACGGTCAGGGCATGCAGGCTATACTTCTACTCACTGGCATACTTATAAACATGTTGCATGCTTCTTTACTTGCGACTACTAAGAACCTTTTTGTTGCATTAGTCTAAAACGGTATGCACTACACTGCGTCGCCCATAATGCATCACTCCTGGTGTACAACAAAATCTGCCCAAGGTACCAAGCGCTTAATAATTGCGGATGGCAGTGCTTTGGAACGCAATGAAATTGGCGAGTTTGAGGCAACGGATTAATGCTGGCGACGACAAATGTCAATGGGAACACACCACTTGCTATTCTGGGCTGTCCGAAAACTAATACTAGGAAAGATCCCCAATCACTCGAGTTCAGGCTTTTTGGGCTTCTTGAGTGGCTGTGTGGTGGGTCCTTTCGTCATAAGCGACCGATGGATGTGTGGTATGACACCGCCCCCGGCAATGGTAGCCTTAATCAAGGTATCCAGTTCCTCATCACCTGCAGCAAGCATGAAAACAAATATTTCTGCAGCTTTGAAAGTGATGCATGAAAAGAATAATTATTATGGGCATAGTGTCGAAACTTGCCACGAATAGCTAGCTGCAAATGGCGAGGGGTAATTCTCTTGACTTTCAGATCTTTCGACGCGTTTCCCGCCAGCTCGAGAACCTCCGCAGTGAGGTATTCCAAAATGGCCGAAGCATACACGGCAGCCGTAGAACCGACACGACCTGATTGAAATGAAACAGATGCATTCTAGCTACATTTAGGAAAGCACAACCGGGAGTCATCGGCACAGCAAGCGTTATCGTCGGTGTTGAAAGCTGAAGAAACCATGCACATGCTATGCATACACATAACGAAAAGTGGACCCCCAAACGGTACGCGTATTCCCGCACTAATCTTCACATTCACGAGCACACAGCAAGACGCACCCCTTGAAACGGGAACAGCGACGTGGATCTTCAAAAAGCTCATATGGCATAGTATTATATTCTGATAATTTTGAGTGCAATTAAAAACCATCAGCACATGCATGGATAAACCAGCACCAACGACAGCAGATGCATGTCCAGACATGAGTACTACCCCCCAACCAGGAGGGGCGACCCCCTCACCCTACAACACGAAAGGGGGGCGATAGTCCACAAAAAAAGCCACAAATCCATAAATCACATCTAATAATGCACACTAAATACAGGACAAACAAGAGGGGCGGAAACTGTGGCAATTGTGAGCTTTAGACCGAAGAATTCGCCCGGCACTTAGGGGGATGGTGTAAATGGATATAAATCGTCACCTTCCGATGAAATGCGGCTCTTTAACATTCTGTGAACACGACCAACCGGGAACTGTAATCCAGCACGAGCTGCGCGAGAAAGAGGAGCTTTCTTGCCTTTTCCGCTGCCGGCCTTGCCCTTACCACCCTTGCCCATACCACCAACTTTGCCGCCAACCTTGCCGCCAACCTTCCCCCCAACTTTGCCGGCTCCATCCATTTTGTGAACAGCAATTCAAGGACGATGAAAAAATGGGACAAGCACGGCAGGACCAACGCCCTACCACGATGTTAGCCACGCTGGCAGAGTTTGAAAAGCTGCACTGCGCAGATTTTGCCCAGAGGAGGAGCAGTGGACTCCGATCACGCAGTAGAATAACGGTGGAATCAAACAAACTTTTAACTGCAAAAGACGTTACCCGCGCGCACCAAGCAACCGTGTGCTCTGCCTATCATTTGCAGGGCCCGCGGCCACGAGCTCGGACAGCCCTGCGTACTCTGCCACCCCCGCCAGACGCTACCCGCCCCAGTAAAAGCCATGTATGCACGGCGTTATTTCCCCACGTAAATTCTTATGTGCAGTGAATCACTGCACAAAATGTGGCATTATGAGCACACCTCTGCAGCGCAGCATTAAACCTAAATAACCTGAGTGTGACTTTCCACTACAGCATACAGTCCTGGGTGCGCGTTAGGGCGCTGGCCTGCCTCCTGTTCTAGTTGCACCATTTTTAAAAAAAACTGCACTGGAGTATAGTGTTCATGACTCAAGGTTGAACTGTGGCTCTTGAAAGCCTTCATTACGATCCCGTAGTAAGGTATTACAGTTTCATCCGTGATATTGGAGTGGGGCGGTTAACCAGCCTCGCTACATACCTCGGTTGTCAAAAAAAACTCCCGGGAGCATTGGACGCTTTACTGTATACAGTAGTCTTGGTTGCCTTTTCTGAGCTCTCCCCCTTACTTGGCTCACTAACTTCGCTTGCTTAACACGTTTTCTCCTCTGGTAGTGTCTTGTGTATAGCTCCTGTAAAATATACTAAACACCCTTCTAGTAAGCTTGTATTCTGCCCGAAAATAAGTCTGTCCAAATGCAAATCTTCACTGTAGCGTTGCAGGCGAGGGGTTGCTGTACTATTCATGTTGCTCTAGCACCTGTACCGTTCCATATAAGATCCCCAATAAGAGAGCCTAAAAACCATATTCAAGAAAGCTTAATTTAACTGTGTTAAATGGATTTTTTCGAAGCACCCCGGCCTTCTTTCGGTCGCGCCATTCTAAACTCCCGATATAGGCTGAATACATATGGTGTGCGTAAATACAACCTCTGAACGCTCCGGGCATCGCCAGCAAGTTCAAAGTGGCATCTAGCACGCACGCATACAAGATTGCATAGCTTGTATAGAGCCGACAATATTTTTCGAAAAATAAGATACATTAACAAACAAACCATTGAGTCACTTCTTACTGCTGATTAGTGAAATTTAAGTTGTTTAGCAGAAAATCTTAGAGTATAAATTAGCCCGCTACATGTTACCCCCCACTGCAAATCATACGTCATCATGTTCCTTACATTCCCCTCGGATCGAAGTGCCTGCAGGACAGCAGAAGAGTTCGCGGCATGTGACCACTTCCCAGGCACGTAGAGAAATGCAAATGATCATGCTAATGAGAAAGCCAAAGTGTGCATCCGGTGACAAAGAGCCAAAGGGAATGAAGACGGAAACTCAGGTCAGCACTGCAGAAGGACCCACACTGATATGCCGGCGGAAACACAATGCCTCGCGGTCGTGAGAGCACTGAAATATTTAAGCTTTCTTCTGGGAGAAAACAGAAAAGCGGGAAATTTGTTAGTGAAAACGCAACACACACTAGTTCAGCGTGCGACCGCTCATCATGAAGCAATCTCTGCATGCTGACACAGCTTTCGCAAGCAGCATGACCAAATTCCTAGCCCAAAAACCAGCACGAAAATCTATGAAGAGGCAAATTACCCGAGAGTGCC